CTTGATGTGTTTTTAAAATACTAGTTGGCATGATGTGACAACACAGCTCAGTTTACTCGTAAAAGAAATGACTGGTATTGGAGTGAAAATACTAAAAGCTGAAGAATGTGCTTGTAAAATTAATGAAAATTAAATAACACAGATAAAGCATGATTAGCAAATGATCAAAACAGTTACTGGAGACCCCAAACCTCTTCTACATTTGAAATTTTAGAATTACAGCTTGGGGCTGAAACATTGTGGTTCACTTCATTGTTGGTGCATTTTTCTGAATGTGCAACGTGAATTCATAAGAAGGTGTTTTAGAAGTTAAACTTGCACGTTTTCTAGACTCTATATAGTAATTATTTTAAACTCCAGTTTCTTTCACAGAGGGAGAAAAAACACTAAAGAAGCAGGGGAATCTCTATCAAGGGGCTGTAAAAGAATTTTTAGAAAATGAGATCTAATTTTTAAAACATTTTGTGTAAGAACAAAAAATTTGAACAGACAAATTTGTATGAAAATGGTACAATACACCCCAGAAAATTCAACTTGCAGTTTTGGGGGTATATTAATAGAAGTGACTTTAGAAATGTTAACTAAGCTAGCAAAACTATTACTGATGTGCCAGATTTCAAAATGTTTGTTTATATTAGTTTGATTTCCTCACAATAGTACCATAATTCTGAAATTTTACTTCTAGAAAACGTTCTAAAAGTCCTTATGGTTTGCAGTGTTTGTTGTTACAGTCCAACACCTACAAAAACAATAATAGCTTATAGTCCAAGGATTCCAGGTAATATTTAAAGAAAATGAGTCTTCATGGACAGTTTATTTCTGGAACAAAAAATCCCTTAGACTGAAGAGGTGCACATTCTTTCAAAAATATGTCACCATTAAGAAGAAACTACTTTTATATACAATATTTTCTGAAAGTATATTTTGTGTGGGCATATCTTTTTCCTTTCAGTATTTAAGCAGAAAAAAAAAAAAAACCAAGCCAGAAATAATTGCTGCAAAGGGCTTAACGTTCTACACCCAGAGACTTACTGAGTGTATGTGTGTATATCCTGAAATTAGGGAAAGGTTTGATTCCTGAAGCTTAAAATAGAAATATTTTTACCATAGTATCCCACCTTCTGAACAGTGCAAAACAAGAGCTACTTTCTTCTTTTTGCAATTAGTGTTTTGCAAATCTTTTATAAAAACACAAACGGCCCGACTAGGTGAAACTCATTAACTGAAGAGGAGGATAAGTGTCTCCACAACCAAGAGGGAGGACTGGAGCAGGGTCTGAGTGGAACAAAGGCCCCTCAAAGTTTGGCAGAGGCTACAGCAAACCTGTTTCAAAAACGCTTACTCTGCAGATGTGACCTTTTCCTAAATGTTTTTGGGTTTTACAACAATTTATATTTTCCAATTGAGGCACGGAAAACCAAAACCCAGAATCAAAGTTGCAGAGAGGGATGGAAGAATTAATTGCAGGTACTTTTCTGTAATCTGTGTTGGGATGTAAATTGAGGTGCTGTGTGTGTGTGTGTGTGTGTGTGTGTGTGTGTGTGCAGTTTTGAAGGACGCAAGAAGGGTGTTTTGTATATGGAAGGATGGGGGTGTAACTGAGTTGTCTTCTATTTAAGTCTGCTTAGAACTAAAACCTAATGGTCAGAACAAGTAGTCAGTCAGACTTCTATCAACACAGATGTTGTGTTCAAACTCCATTCGGCTAGCGACTGTTTACTTTCAATTTAAAACAAATCAGAGACAATCCTGTTCACTAAATGCAGGCTCCTTCCATACACTTGCTTTGTTAAGTGCATTGAATACTATTGATTTTTAAAGACAAAAAAGAACAAATTTGTGAGCCATAATTATATAAAGACCTATCAATTGGATTTTTAGATGTGAATTTGTGCCAAAGAGAAAATAATGCATTATGTGGTGGCAACACAAATTTCAGACACAGTTCAAAGCATGGATAATACTTTCTGACTGCTTACCATAACACTAAGGTGTTAATGAAACTCTGAATGTTAATTATTTGAGTACAGTCTTTTGAAACACTATTACTTGTTATCCTGCAACCCAGTGAGAGAACGATGATACATTTTATAAAATATTGGTGAACATCTGGGGAAGTTTCAAAGAAGATGCCTAGACTAGTGAACTGCATTCACATCCCATCAGGAATTCGCACTCTCCAGTAAGCATGGAGATAACTTTGTGATTTCAAGATCGCTTTTAAGTTTAGAGGTAATGAAAGTTTCTGGGAGAGATGGGTTTTGTTTTCGCTTTAGAATGTTTACCTGCAATTGAATGAAATGCCTTTCGTTTTTTAAAATTCCATGTAACCTTCGGTAATTAATTGTTCAGGTGACTTCTAAAAAAAAGTTGAGGAACATTGCCTAAACTTAAGTTGTGCAAACTATTTTGCAGTAGTGAACAGCTGTATTCCTATTTCACACACATCAGTTAACACCTGTTCTCTTTTGGCCCTTATTACATAAATACGGCATGGAGAAACACCACAGGAGTGCTTTAGTGGGTGGAGGAGAAATCCATCGAGAAAGGGCCGTTTGCTAGTTCATTCGCTTGTTGACCTTCTTCCTGATGTGGAAATAGTAGAGCAGTCGATCACCAGGAATACAGTCTGGCGGGATCGCAGCTCCAGGACCCTTTCAGGGTGGGCAGGAGGCGTCAGTCAGCAGCACAGTCAGAGAGCCGCTCCGCAGTCTAGGAATAAGGGACTCTAAGTTGACTCTTCGGGCAATCTCTAGGTTTTAGATTTCTAAGCATTGTGAGGACCATGAGGAGGGTGCGCCCAGGGGTGGAGGAACGAGCTTTCCGCGCCAAGCCTGTGCGTGCGGCCGGCTCGCGGGAGGGGCAGCCGGGAGGTCTGCGGGCTGGGTCCGGCGGCGAGGGAGACGCCAGGGAGACTCAGACGCCGGGTGCGTGCCCCACGTGCACCAAGGGTCTGGCGCTTCCCGACCCTGCTGGGAGAAAACTGAGCCAAGCACCTAGTACCTGAGCTCTGAGCAGCCTGCGGGTCCCGGGTGCAGCCACCAACTCGCCCCCGGCTGCGAGGTCGCCGCGCCCCGGGCCCTTCAATTCGGTCCAGGCGCACCCCGCCTCAGAGCGTCCGGTAAAGGAGTGCTGGGCCCCCATCCCCACCCGGCCAGTTCCTGGACTCCCACGTCATCCTACGAAAATTAACCTGTCGCTCATTACACCCAATTTGTCTTTGTAACGCTAAATGGCAATCTAAAGCCAGTTTGCAGACGCCTTTGTACATTAACATACATTACTCCGTTTGATCTTTAAAGGGAAGACAATTGCTCATTACAGGCCCTTAGCACCACAGTAGTCAGGCTGTTTCCAGGTTTTGTTTTTTTTTTAAGAACTTTAATAAGAGACCCTGAAAAAATGTGTTTAAAGAGAATATAATCGCCTACAAGTAACTATTTAAAATTGGCCCAATGACTTTTACATAAAAGTCATTTATTTTTTACATAAAAATTTGGAGGCGATGTTTACAGCTTTTAACATTTCACGTAAAGCTCTAAAAAACCTTTTACTTATTGAAATGAACAAGGCATTTTCCTGGAAGATTAAAACGTGGAGACAAGTTGGAAAGAGATGAAGACTAACGGTGGAAAGAAGCAAAGGTGAAGGAACGGAGCAGGGTCTAAAGCTGGCTCAGCGAGCTGGCAGGGACCCCTCAGAGAACACCTACCTGTTCTGCAGAACATATCTACCATCATCAGTTTCTCCATCAGGTCTTGTGCTCAGACGTCTTCCAAACAGTGCTTTAAACATTGTCAAAAACTTAATCAGTCTGAAGATAGCTTAAAATAGAACTAAGCCAAAACTAAAGATCTGAGATATAGAGTGGAAGTGTCGGTTTTGATTATAAACTATGAATAGTAAAGCATTTATTGCTGAGCGCGGTGGCTCGCACCCGTAATCCCAGCACTTTGGGAGGCTGAGGAGGGCAGTTCACGACGTCAAGAAATCGAGACCATCCTGGCCAACATGGTGAAACTCCGTCTCTACTAAAAATACAAAAAAATTTAGCACTCCAGCCTGGGGACAGAGTGAGATTCGGCTCCAAAAAAAAAAAAAAAAAAAAATTTATAAACTCTCTTGGAATATGCAATGCTTTACTGAGATGACTATATACATTTTTATTTGAGAGATAAACTTACAGAGAAATTTAATAGAATTACTACTTGTTCACTGAAGTCGCTATGTAAGTGTTGTGTCAGTAATTCCTAATGGAGAGACTGTCTCAACAATAAAGGATCCCGCTCTGGTCACCCATCATTAGCAATGAACTCAATAGCTACAAAACACCTTCCTACTCAAGGTTAAGGTGAGATATTTTTCCCCCACAAAGTTTAACAAGTATGCTTCAGTTGAAAATTAAAGCAAAAATGTCCTAAGTCAGAAGGTCAAAGAGAAACTTTACCTCACAATCTTAGGCTAGGAGGGAAAGCTGAAACAAAGCAATAGTCTTTATATGTGTATCTAAATTTGTTTTGGCAATCAAATGAAAATGCATATGTAAGTACTGTATGTGAACTCCAAACACACATTTGAACAATTTATAGTGTGCTTGGTAGCAAGGAAAAACATGAATACAAAATGCAATCTAATGAAATAACAAAAAATATGCTAAGGAGCATAGACTATTTGACCATTAATTAAAATTTGTCAACTTGAAGATTTAAATCAAATCCTTAAAACTGGAGCACAAGTCTACATTAAATTTGTAGTAAGTTATCTCACAAAGATTTTTTAGTTAGCCAGACCAGTCACTGACATACCAATACAACAAAATTAATGCTTTTGTTATGTCTTGCTGACCCAATTTTTTACAATCTACTTCTTCATTGACTTTATTGTCTTTTGCTTTGGACATGTGACTGCAGAAATAGTTTTCTGCAAATTTAGTTTTAAAACACTGTGCTTGGTCAAGATTTTCAAAGCGGAAATACTGCAAAAGAACAAGAACACGAGAACAGAGTTTTAAAAGTTTAACTTTATTTTTTTTACTAAAGTCCAGACCAGAAATTTCTGTAAGACAAGTACATTAATGAAATGTTTCCAAAGAAATACTAAACAATATATACTCTGGTTTGCTGAGGGCTCCAGCTCAAGGGTTCAAACCTAATTCTTGTGCAATAAAAATCAGCATGGATCTTAGATGATCTAGAATACACTGTGTTTTGAAATCCACAGCTGGCTTCATTTTTAATCATAATGAAAAACCAGTACTCCTCTTCCATCAAATGTGTTTTATAAGCAATAATAAATTCAGATCCACTGTATTATGCAACATACATCTTTGGAAAGCAACATAAACAGTGTGATCACATCAGTAGAAATATACACGGTTAAAAGAAATACACAAAGTACTGTAGTTTTATTAAAAACTACTACTTGAGAAAGAAATCTTTCCACAAATAGCATAAAACTGGAGAATGATGAAGGGATTTGGGAAAGCTTTACAAAAGCTTAATTCCAATTGTATCTTCCTGAGGGTGGTGGCAAAGGGTATTTCCTTCCTTCTCTGGGATACCCCTGAAAATAAACAAAAGAGTTTTATTTTCTGGACCAATACTCCTACAAGTCAGTTAATTTTACACTTCCATGGAAAAACACATCATAAGGAAGCTGAGTATGTGTTAAAGCTACAGCACCTGGAAAGGCCCCATAAACAGGTGCCTTGATGCAGAGCTTTAACACAAACTTGTTGCAAAGTTAGAGGCCAGCACAAATGCTATTACTGAAAACGAAACAAAAAAAACCTTAACAATCACAAAAGAACTAAAGTGTTTTGTATAAACAATGTGTACAGACAATGGTTCTCAATTTTCCCATCACCCTAGCAGTAGTAATTCAAGTCACATTGTGGTAAGATACCCACATCAATTTAGACTTACTACACAAGGAAAGTAACTTTGCTTTAACCAAGGCAAAAGCTTGCTAAGTCAGTAAAGCCACATGAGCAACTGATCTTAGGGATTTTTTAAAAAAATTTAGCAATAAAGAATAGAGCATTAAGTGATACATTAAGGTTATTACACAATCCATTAGCGGTGACCTTTATAACATATCCTAGTAGGCTTGCAAATAACATTTCTATATAACAAAAGATAAACATGACACCTCTTCATTTTAAGTCCCTTTCTAGGCCTCTAAGGGTTTTGAAATGAAACCCCACTCCCACCTCATTTTGCCAGCCAGAGAGCGCTTCAGTACTTTAAACATGAGCATGTGCAGACTCTCAAGGCCAGAATGTAGGCTAAGGCCTTGACTGGTCACATAAAACTTTACTAAAAATACAATGAAGTAATGATTCTGTGTTTTCAACAACAAATGTGTGCAATTTAATACTGCTTCAACAATTGTAATTTAATAAAAAGTATCTCCGTGGAAAAAAGACTGAGAAAAAAGAAATGTTACTTTCAAAAAGTCCTAAAAGAATAATAAATTTACCAATTGGTTTCTATCTTCGAAGTAAGTAAGAATTTTACCTCCTGTAACAGCAGAGAGTTCCTTTAAAGGGAAGATCTCCAAAGGAGGGAGGAAATGGATGAACTGGGGTCAGCAGTCTAGGCAGCCAGCCCCAGCTCTGCTCACCAACTAATTGTGTGAGGTTTTCAGGGTGTCAGTTCCTGTCTTGGAAAATGAGGTAACTAGACTACACATTCTCCAGGGTTTCTTCCAGTTACAAATATGTCCTCACTTCAAACATGCTCATCATGGAAACTGCCTAGTGCCATCTAACCCCACAGTAATATAAAGAGCCTTAATTCACTGATAGGATTTTTAGAGGTCTTGGGTGGAAAAAGTTCAAACCAAAATTCTATAAACTGATTTAAATAAACTGTAACAAAATCTTCTCAAAGGACATTAACTATTTGCAATTTTCTTTTAAGGTGGAGATACTTTTAAGAATATATCAAAAAAAGTATAAAAAATATGTGCCTTATCTGTGAGAAGAGAGGTCTTACTAATTAATATGTGAAGCACTGCAAAAGGCCTGGAGGCAATACCAGGTAAGCAATTTAAAAACCACTTCACATCACTGCAGGTGCCAAACTCCATAAACATTACATTCTGAATCATAGCATTCCAATCTTGTTCTCTAGTAAGGATTCCATTAAGAGCATGTAAATACTGGCCAGGGTATCATATTATGTCAAATAGACCTCAGTCTTAAATGCTGCTAAAACCGGATTCTGTAAAGAGATGGAAATGAAGCTTACATATACTTCATTTTGTAATATTCACAAATATGCTACATAAATTTGTCTAGGAATTACGATATTCATTCAGTGATACAGCTGCTTACATTGAGAAGAAAAATATGTGAAAGATTATCAGAGATTTCTTTTATAAGGAGGGATAGCAGATGAATCAAGACAGGGGACTTCTAAAATGAACAAAGACAGCAGCTGAAAAAGTAGATAGACTCCTACTTTCGGCTTCCAGAAAATCATCACCCATTATGAGGGATCTAGTTTATACTAAAGAACAATCTCCTTAAAGGAAAAACAATGTGTTTTGGTGACTTACTATATCTGGAGGACTAATTATCACTGACTGCTAAGATTCAGAGGGCTTTGGGGTTAGAAATTCTTCGGCATCTTCAAGGCATACAACCTATTTGGTGAGGCAGGTATTCAACCCATGTATGTTCTTAATGATAGGTCCAAGTGCAGCCAAAATACTCTATTATCTTCTCCAGAAATGTCAGTAAGAAATATGGAGTCTTGAGAGGCTTGTTTAAATAAAAGGTGAGCAGTATGCTTTTCATCCCACAGCCCATTTACCTGTCTCCCTCCACGATCATCTCGTCTGGGTGGATACCCACCAGGCCCGGCTAGCATCTGGTACTGGTTTGGCTGGAAGGCTGCATTTTGGGTTTGCAGCATCCGGTTCCATGGCAGCAGGGGTTCAGCCCCAACGCCTCTGTGGAAAAGTACCAGGTTAACATCAGAAGCCATGCCTATTATATAGCACAAAGCCTAAAATCGGTAGGTATCATCCTCAAATTTTAATACAATCCAATTTGCCTGGATTTTTCATATAAAATGCAGAGTATCAGAATGGCCTTTGTGTCCCTTATATCCAGTATAATCTAACATGTTTCACGAAGCATCAGCATTTATTACAATGGATGTTTAAACTCAACCGAGAAGTTCTGCGTTTTAAAAATTATTTTGTTCATTTTCAACTGGAAAATTTCCTTTTTGGTCACTTAAAGATTTAGACCCAAGATCACCAAGTTGGCTACATTTAAGATGCTATCCAAAGAGTAAACATGTACAAGACAGGAGAATGAAGCTTTATTTTCAAAAATGTCCAGACTCATTCTTGGATCCATTCTTTCCAGTTAATTGCAGGTTGCAAATGAATTCTTACTGCTGAGTATTTTGAATCCAGGGTAGGGGACTTGGCTGTTTTTTCCCATCCATTATTCTGTTCAATATGTCAGAAGGTCTGATTGGGAGGAAACCTTTTCAAGTTCTATTGATGCAGCTTTCAATTGACCACGGTGACCTAGCAACATGAGCACTAATTGGCATGGGCTGACTGGCATTTGGTGTACAGTTTACATGGGAACACAGACTCAACGGCTATTATAACCCAGTTTGCTGTCCCAGATTACTAGTCGAAAGAAATGTTTAATTGTCTTCAAGTGCCTATTTTAACTTTGCAGATGCAAAGCAACAGGTATAATATACTAAATCATAACTTAATTAAAAACTGTCACATAAACAATGTAGCATGCATACACCTTCAAAGGCAATCACCTTTTAAGACTTAACTTTCTCCTTAAGGCACTTTCCATAACTTCCATTTTATGGAAGTCACTACAAAGAACAAACAGAGGCAAATGCTCCAGTATATTTTAATATTAGAAGCTTTGAGGCCACTGACCGTATTAGGAGGAATTCAATAAAACTTTAAATTCACTTTAGTGCTGACTAGCTGGTAACCAGTTATAACCATATCAGCGTAAGAATTTCACTTCTGAGGTCTTAGGGAAAAAAGCCCGGTGCTGGGCTCACTGGGTAAAGCATTCTTCTCACACCTATTCAAGCCGGAATCCAACCTTTCTACCCTCACTCTCCTCCCTTCACTTGGAGCTTGCCTTCTTTATATTAAAACAACACCAAAGATAATTATTTTTGTGTGATGGCTTGAAGAGAAGAACTGCTCTCTAAAGAATTCTAGAAAGGCTAAAGCTTTTCTTTACAGTTGGTAGCTGAAACCAGAGCTCTATTAACAATATAAGTAGTTCAGAATACAATTAGAAATAAGTATCTCAGAAAGAAAATGCATACGGCTAGGGATTTTAATTATTTTTCAGGATAATTACTAGCACAAACATATTTTAGCAAGGATGCCTCAACTGTTTTAGCAAAAACAGCTCCATGTGCAGAGACAGGAATGGTCTCTCCAGTTTCTGCAGGAGTGAAGGGCTAAGGTTTGTGCTGTAGCCAGTCTCATCAAAACTGGGCCAATTAATGCAAAACCCAAAGGCTAAAATGCAATTCACATCTTTTATTAACTGTGATCAGTTTTTCTTTCAAGTCTTACAATAATAAAATTCACTCAACTGAGTTTTAGGATCTGCTGGCATAAATAATATACATTATAAATACAATTCAAAACTATTTTATGTTCGTTCCAAAAAGTAGGTTAAAAACAAAGCCACAGTTTAAAAACATAAAGTTCTCCTTTTTATTTGAATTACTTATACTGTTTTTGACAAAGATAATTTTTATGAAAATTATTATCAATAATTAAAATTAAACAGAAGAACAAAGCAACAATGTCATGTACTACCCTCTTCTGACTTTTATGACAGAAAGGCCTTTATTTTCCACAAGTTTATCATATGTGTAGACTAATTATATAATTTGCAAAAAAATCTGGGATGGAAGCACAGAGACTGGACACACCGTAACCTTTAAAAATTAGCAGTTAGGCCAGGCACAGTGGCTCAGCCTGCAATCCCAGCACTCCAGGAGGCAAGGCAGCCAGATCACTTCAGCCCAGGAATTAGAGACCACCCTGAGCGGCATGATGAAACCCCGTCTCTAATTAAACAAACAAACAAACAAAAATACAAAAATTTGCCACACATGGTGGTGTGGGCCTGTAGTCCCAGCTACCTGGGAGGCTGAGGCACGAGAATTGCTTGAACGTGGGAGGCAGAGGCTGCAGTGAGCCAAGATCATGCCACTGCACTCCAGCCTGGGCAAGAGAGTGAGACCTTTTCTCAATTATTCAATCAATAAATAAAAATTATAAGTTAATAACTAAGACAACTTATTTAAGCCATTGGGCATTGGAGATGGCAACAACATTCTTAAGTTTCCAAATTACTGTTTTGAAAAGTTACTGGTGATATGAAGTAATTACTATCAATCTGGATATTTTAAATGTATATATATGGTAAAATAAGAGTTTTCAAAGATTTCTCATGATTGAGTTTAACACCCATAGGTAAAAAACTAAACGGTTGCCTTGCAGATGACCGAAGAAGAGACGTCTCCACTGACAAGAAGAACCCAAACAATGTGGCAGAACTCAAGCGACAAGGGGAACTCCAATACTGGGCATCTGTTAAGTCTAGGCTGTGCCAGCGTGGGGAGGATGTTCCTGTTATAGTTTTAAATCTACTTGATATATGGATTATATATACTGTCTTAAGGTAGGAAATTATTCAAGAAATGCAATGTCATAAAAAAAAGACACTCAAAATTCTTTTTTAATAAGACTCTCAACAAACACTCAGAATAGTGCCGTGGAAACATACTGAACTACACAGACTGGTAAAACCTAGTTGTGGAGCGAAATGGTATATTTCTTAAATGTCTGTGATATAAAACTTTTAAGATAGAACTCTATTATGCTCACATTTACCTTTTGATTTCAGGCAGGATTTTAAGTATTTAACTAAAACTACAACAAAAAGCATCCCCACAAAACTTGTCCCTAACCTTCTGGGTTCATAAAGTCAGTAGGGTGGAATAAGAACAAAACCTGATGGACAGGAGGGCAAGGGAAGGGACAATGATGATGATCTTAGGAAAACTTTTAATGTGAACAGAGGGGAAGAAAGCTGTTTGGGGCCTCAGAAGTGGAAACAGATCCTTTACTTCCTTTGAAGTCCCTACATCTTTATATTATGCTCAGAGTAAATATTCTGATGAGTTTTGTTCCAGTGAAAAGTTTCTTGGTAAAGAATGGCACAAAAGAGTGACCTTAGGTAAGCTGCTGAGCTTCTGTGTGCCTCACTTTCTTCCTTTGCAAAAATCTAAAAATAACAGCATCTACTTCAGTGCATTGTAGGGAGGAATAAATGAAATCATTCTTACTAAAGGATGTTAACACAGTGTTAACATTTTGTAAGCAGACAAACATTCATGATTATTAACATGGAAAGTAAGCAATAAGATAGGGAAACGAAGTATATAATTTGGGAAACATATACCCCTTACTCATTTAATTTTTGCTTAAAATTGGTGCTACTGAAGAAAATGAAACACACACTGTGTTCTTTCAGAACATACACTAAAAACAAAACATTACACACATTGCTAGTACTATTATTTAATGAGACTTGCACTAAGTTGATACTATTAGTAAACATTGAACAACAGGGTTCCTTTTATCTGGTTAAATAAAACAGTGAAATGAGGTTTTGGAGTCTCTAAAGAGTTACAAAGTTTTCTTAAAAGGGGAGCTGAATTTAGAACCCCATATATAAAAACACTTTATTCATTTCAGATGTGAACAGATTAGAGACTATTAACATGGCAGAGACCAAGAGAATAAAATAGATTAAGACTGGGAAGGCAAAACCATCGTGAAATGATACACTTTAAGGCTGGCCTTTAAAAATTATTCTGCAGATGTTTAATTATTCATAATGTGCCTAGCTGTTTTATCGTATAGAGTCCATCTGACTTAGGAGCACACAACTTATCAATGAAGAAATACATGTTAAACATCCCTTGTTATTAAACCATGTCACATTCTTCCTAGTCCATGGTACTTATTAGACTGCAGATCCCATAATCCTCTTCTGAGTCCCTTCTGCATTTAATTCAGTTCAGTCTTAAGTAGTTAAAGAAACTGTTTTCAGTGGCAACTAATAACTACTGACCTACAGTGACACTGCCCTACAATAGGCTTGTCAGCATTGAAAAAGTTGTACCAAAGAAGCTGATTAGGACTTCAAGAGGTTTGTAGCAAGAATCAATGGTTGGTCTGTACTAACGCTGCATTGCCCGCACAGAAATGATAAAAGTGGAACACCATTAGTTATGCCTCATTAAGCTGCACAACCCTTCTAAAAAGAAATTTGTTTAGCCTGACCAAAACCTAATACAGTTTTAAGCTGTGTTGCATTTTTCAGGGCATCTCAAAAGCATAAATAAAATAAAGGCCAAGAACCAAGAAAAGTAGGAAAGTATATTAAACACTAGTCTTAAAGTATTAGCTATATATTTTCCTAAAGGATAGGTATGAGGGAAATTGTTTTTGGTGGGAAAAAGTACATTTCGAACCAGAGCTTTTAGCTTCCATAAAACCCATAAACCCCAAATGTTGGTGTGAGAAAGTATTTAAAAGTCATGTCTGCTTTAATATTACCTGTCAAACCTTTGCTGCTGGAAAAGGGGAGGGGGACCTCGCCAGGAATCCTGGGGCCTCATATCTGGAAACGAAACAGAAAAGGGTAAAGATTTTTCAAAGCAACCAATATTCAACTTCTCATACATTTTATAATTAAAAGTTCTTGAAAAGAATCTGAGAAAGACTGTAAACCAAATAAACTAGTATCATAACAACACACACCACAAATGTAAAAGGTAACAAGGTCAGCAAATTTTTATGATTTTTCCTTTGATAAAATAGTTCTAGTAACCCCTGGCCACTAAACTCACACAATCCTCTTGCTATCTCTCTCTCTCTCTCTCTCTCTCTCTGTGTGTGTGTGTGTGTGTGTGTGTGTGTGTGTGTGTGCATGCGCACATATGTCTGTGTGTTAAGACACATGTACAGTTTTTACATTTATATTTTAAATGCTGTACAAAAGGTTTAGTTCTTTTTCATAAATAGAATGCAAACTGAATTAATAGTATCTACAACAGAAATCCTGAACTTTTCCTTCTGAAGGCATAAATTGCTATCATTAATGTAAAGCAGAGTACACACAATCTCTCCAACACAAACCAAGAAAACACGTTAATGAAGGGACCACCCACTTCTCCATCTTTTCTGATAGTCTTCTTGTAACACAAAGCTGAACTAGCAACAACATCTCACTAAAAGAAACAGTTAAATGGCTCCTGCTCTTCTATATAAACTGACAGATAAATGGGATGAAAGAAACATCTGGGCCTGTCTATATCAATGAACCACAACCTGCAGTCACCTCACCTTCAGCGGGGTCTGCTGTGACCTAATTAAAACTGCTGGTTCCAGAAGTTGTCTAATGAGTTCAGCATGCGAGGACAGTAACCTCCTCTAGACTCCCGAGACCAAGGACAACATGGCTTACCATAATGTATTCAGGCTCACATTTTAATAGAAATACAAACTAGAAAAATGCTTTTCAAAATTACTTTCTTAAAGAAGAGATGAAAGCTTATCTCTGGTTAGAAACCAAAAATATATACAGTTTTTACTTAAGAAAGAGAGAGAAAGAAAGAAAAAAGTAGAATCATGCTTTAAAAACCCCATGACCAAGAACACAGAACCAGTAAAATATCTGGCTGTGCACAATGATTCTAACATACAACTGGCAACCTCAGCCTTGGGCTTCCTTCCCATCTCGACAGGATGAGAAGGCCAGGTTGAATAAAGTTTTCTGTATGTGGACAAACTACCTGAAGGGGGGCAGCCATCTGCCGCTGCCACAGCCCACTCACACCTCAGTCCATGGCCAGCTGGAAAAGCCCCTCCAGTCATACCGATGGGAGCCAAACCCACCTCTCTCAGAAAGGTACTGGAAGCCCTGCACCAGCGGTCACTTTCAGGCAGATTCCCATTGTGAATTAAAAGAATCTCTAATCTTTAATCAATTCGAATTAAGTTCCTTTTTTATCTCTTAAAAGTCAAACTACTAGCAGTCAAACTGAGTAACAATGCAGAGGATGCTGATCACCACACCGTCCACAGAAAACAGAGGAAGCAGGCTCCCCACTCTACGCCCAGAGTAAGTTCTGAGTCATTACTACAGACTACACACTGTCAGAAAATCAATTTTCTGAAGAGGTAAACGTAAAAAATTCTTACAATAATAGTAAAAATTTCATTTGTATGGTTTATTTCTATGGGAAAACTTAAGGTACATTTGCATATATGACTTTCAATGAGTTATCATTTGTGAGAAAGTAATCTACTGAAAGTAAAATCAATGTTTGAGCCACTTTTTCAAAATATCATGCACACAATTAGTTCAGTGAGAATCAGTTAAAATGTTCCCAGAAGTATTTCATTTTAGTGCCTTTATATATACAAAATTTGCAAATATAACATAAGGCAAAAGAAATACAGCACATTTTCTTCCAGACCCCTGTCTACCTCGGTACTTCACATGCCCCAGAATCCCTGAGGTTACCCTGGAAACGCACCCTTTTTTCCCATTAAGACTTAATTCCATATTGTGGTTGCCTCGTGTCTCTTTATGTTTTTTTTTCCCAGAAGCCTATTTTCATATTCCATCTTTATGTATGTTTTAATCACAGGATACACATTCTCCATGGTACTCATGAAAGCTTCCACAGTGGCTCCCTAATAAATTTAAAATTGAATGAAGACAATACAAAGATATATCTACATTAAGAGGAACCTTCAGAAACATTTAACCTAATGTTTTAAGAAAAATAAAGATGGGGAAAAAAACTTACATATTTTCTCCTAGGAACTGTGTGAATGGAGATGAAGCCATCACCACCCATAATATATGTTCATTAGACTCAAACATGCTTTTCTTAGATTAAGCACAGCAATATTTCTAAGTAGAACTATAATGTAAAGTTTACTAAGTATAAATGCTTTTTTTGGAGGAGGAAATACTCCTTAATTGTCTAATCTATACACCTGGAAGTATCTTAAAAAACAGCAAACGTTCTGAATATATGACCTCTAGTGTGCCAGGTGCCTCTCCATTTTCCATTTTCTCTCTCTCACCTCCAGGACAATATTTTTTTCCACATAAACTCAGCAGCACATACAAAAATTAGAGTTTTTTGTTAAAACCTAAGCAAATTTTCTCAAACTTTCAATAAACTCTGATGCAATTATTAAAATACCCCTTGTTTTCAATCCAAAAAGAAAAATAAAAAGGCTCCAAGAAATACTTCACGGCTACTTTTAACCAAATTTCTTCATATGGCTCTTAGTAACATACATAGCCTGAAGTATTCGTAAAGCAGAAATATTTCCTGGCTCATCAGTAATGAAGTAGATGGTAAAACAAACTTATTATTATTCATTTGTATGGCTCTAACAGAAGATCTATTTGAGAGGAAGAAAAAAAATTCTGAGATAGTGAATTGCACTTCAGAAATGTACAGGCTAGAGTGGAAAAATGACGGTTAATTTTTTCCTTTGGTCTTTAAAAACTTATCCCTTTTCTAGAGCTCTAAGGCCACGTAAACCGAGCTTTGCCCATAGCTTCTGAAGTGACAATTTACCTAATCAGTGTGGTAATCACAGAAAAGATTCCATGTTTACTGATTGTACTAATCAAAAATCACTTTTCAATGCAGCTAATTGACAAGTTCACAGACTAAAATGAAGAGAAGTCACATTTAAGGTTCTCTGGGCTACAAAAACCAAATGCTTTTTATTCAGACTGAGTACGCAGGGCTACACTCGACTCCAACAAGTTATCAGTACTTAGATAATTACTCATCAGCCAAAAACTGACACATCCAAGGCAAATCAAACACCAACAAGAAACGCCCACAACAGACACTTGACAGAGTTGTCAGTTTGACCAAACAGCCCTTCTTGAGTACAATTTCATACTACATGAAGATAATAATTATGATGCTAAAAATATTTTAGATGGAATAAATGGCTTAGATCTCAGTTTTACTAAAATAAGCTATCTGACTAAATTTTGAAGTTCAAAATTCCATGAAAGATGATCTTTTATCACTTATTTAATACTTTCATAGTACTTACTCTGTACAAGGTAGTATTTTAAGTGCTTAACTACTTAGTGCTTAACTATTAGTCTGGTTATTCTGTGTGGTAAGTTGTCTTATCCTCTATACTATTTTTGAGATGAGAAACTGGGGCAATGACCAAACCTATCAGAGGTCACACAGCTATTAAGGATCAGAGTGAGGCCAGGGGCTATGTTCTCATAACCACTCTCCACTACACTGTGCAATCTCAAAGTTTCACAGGCATTTATGCTGTCGGTTGAGATGGCACTTCATGTTAATTTATTTCAGAAGAAGCAGAGAACCACCACCCATGATTTTGTGCTTCCTAATAGCAAGCTCAGAAACTTAGGGTTTCAACAAGGCAGGATGGGAGGTTTAACAACTACACTCAACATCTTAAAGGTTTACAACTTAACATTATTACTCATATCCAATTAGGATAGGAAAGAAAAATAATGCACACATTTTAGTTGTAAGCATCTAGGCAAATACAGGATTTATACAGAAAAAATAAGAAAAGGTCTTGGCTAAAACACTGGAATTTCTGCTCTTTTTAAAAGGATAATACTACCCCTCAAAATCTGGCATTTAAAAGAAAATATAAAGAGAAGGGATCAGATAAAAATTAGGAAAGGATATAGATAGATAGGGATGAATGGATGAAAGATTAATACAAGGGTAAGGATTAGTTCTACATAAATATTGAATCGAGGTAACGAGATAAAAATGTCAGAAGTGTTAATGACAGTAAACTAAAAGAAAATAAAAACCAAATCACAGGTCAGACACAGTGGCTCACCACCATAATCCCAACACTTTGGGAGGCTGAAATGGGCGGATCAATTGAGGCCAGGAGTTTGAGACCAGCCTGGCCAACATGGCAAAACCCTGACTTTACTAAAAATAAAAAAATTAGCTGGGTGTGGTGGTGGATACTTGTAATCCCAGCTACTTGGGAGGCTAAGGCAGGAGACTCGCTTGAACTCGGAAGGCAGAGGTGCAGTGAGCCAAGATTGCACCACTGCACTCCAGCCTGAGCAGCAGAGCAAGACTGTGT